TTGTTCTCCTTTCTCTAATTGCTTTAGGTGCAAGGTTAGGTTGTTTATTTGAGATGTCTCCTGTTTCTTAAGGTAGGATTGTATTGCTATAAACTTCCCTCTTAGAGCTGCTTTTGCTGCATCCCATAGGTTTTGGGTCGTCGTGTCTCCATTGTCAATTGTTTCTAGGTATTTTTTAATTTCCTCTTTGATTTCTTCAGTGATCACTTCGTTATTAAGTAGTGTATTGGTTAGCTTTCATGTGTTTGTATTTTTTACAGATCTTTTCCTGTAATTGATATCTAGTCTCATAGCGTTGTGGTCGGAAAAAATACTTGAAACAATTTCAATTTTCTTAAATTTACCAAGGCTTGATTTGTGACCCTAGATATGATCTATCCTGGAGAATGTTCCATGAGCACTTGAGAAAAATGTGTATTCTGTTGTTTTTGGATGGAATGTCCTATAAATAGCAATTAAGTCCATCTTGTTTAATGTATCATTTAAAGCTTGTGTTTCCTTATTTATTTTCATTTTGGATGATCTGTCCATTGGTGAAAGTGGGGTGTTAAAGTCCCCTACTGTGAATGTGTTACTGTCGATTTCCCCTTTTATGGCTGTTAGTATTTGCCTTATGTATTGAGGTGCTCCTATGTTGGCTGCATAAATATTTACAATTGTTATATCTTCTTCTTGGATCAATCCCTCGATCATTATGTAGTGTACTTCTTTGTCTCTTGTAACAGTCTTTATTTTAAAGTCTGTTTTGTCTGATATGAGAATTGCTACTCCAGCTTTCTTTTGGTTTCCATTTGCATGAAATATCTTTTTTCATCCCCCTACTTTCAGTCTGTATGTGTCTCTAGGTCTGAAGTGGGTCTCTTGTAGACAGCAAATATGTGGGTCTTGTTTTTGTATCCATTCAGCCAATCTGTGTCTTTTGGTGGGAGCATTTAGTCCATCTACATTTAAGGTAATTATCGATATGTATGTTCCTATTCCCATTTTCTTAATTGTTTTGTGTTCGTTATTGTAGGTCTTTTCCTTCTCTTGTGTTTCTTGCCTAGAGAAGTTCCTTTAGCAGTTGTTGTAAAGCTGGTTTGGTGGTGCTGAACTCTCTCAGCTTTTGCTTGTCTGTAAAAGTTTTAATTTCTCCATCAAATCCGAATGAGATCCTTGCTGGGTAGAGTAATCTTGGTTGCAGGTTTTTCTTCTTCATCACTTTAAATATGTCCTGCCAATCCCTTCTGGCTTGCAGAGTTTCTGCTGAAAGATCAGCTGTTAACCTTATGGGGATTCCCTTGTGTGTTATTTGTTGTTTTTCCCTTGCTGCTTTTAATATGTTTTCTTTGTATTTAATTTTTGACAGTTTGATTAATATGTGTCTTGGTGTATTTCTCCTTGGATTTATCCTGTATGGGACTCTCTGTGCTTCCTGGACTTGATTAACTATTTCCTTTCCCATATTAGGGAAGTTTTCAACTATAATCTCTTCAAATATTTTCTCAGTCCCTTTCTTTTTCTCTTCTTCTTCTGGAACCCCTATAATTCGAATGTTGGTGCGTTTAATGTTGTCCCAGAGGTCTCTGAGACTGTCCTCAGTTCCTTTCATTTTTTTTTCTTTATTCTGCTCTGCAGTAGTTATTTCCACTATTTTATCTTCCAGGTCACTTATCCGTTCTTCTGCCTCAGTTATTCTGCTATTGATCCCATCTAGAGTATTTTTAATTTCATTTATTGTGTTGTTCATCATTGTTTGTTTCATCTTTAGTTCTTCTAGGTCCTTGTTAAGTATTTCTTACATTTTGTCCATTTTATTTCCAAGATTTTGGATCATCTTTACTGTCATTATTCTGAATTCTTTTTCAGGTAGACTGCCTATTTCCTCTTCATTTGTTAGGTCTGGTGGGTTTTTATCTTGCTCCTTCATCTGCTGTGTGTTTTTTTGTCTTCTCATTTTGCTTATCTTACTGTGTTTGGGATCTCCTTTTTGCAGGCTGCACGTTCGTAGTTCCCGTTGTTTTTGGTGTCTGTCTCCAGTGGCTAAGGTTGGTTCAGTGGGTTGTGTAGGCTTCCTGATGGAGGGGACTAGTGCCTGTGTTCTGGTGGATGAAGCTGGATCTTGTCTTTCTGGTGGGCAGGTCCACGTCTGGTGGTGTGTTTTGGGGTGTCTGTGGACTTATTATGATTTTAGGCAGCCTCTCTGCTAATGGGTGGGGTTGTGTTCCTGTCTTGCTAGTTGTTTGGCATAGAATGTCCAGCACTGTAGCCTACTGGTCGTTAAATGAAGCTGGGTGCTGGTGTTGAGATGGAGATCTCTGGGAGATTTTCGCCATTTGATATTACGTGAAGCTGGGAGGTCTCTTGTGGACCAGTGTCCTGAAGTTGGCTCTCCCACCTCAGAGGCACAGCACTGACTCCTGACTGCAGCACCAAGAGCCTTTCATCCACACGGCTCAGAATAAAAGGCAGAAAAAGTAGAAAGAAAGAATTAGTAGAAGTAGAAAGAATGAATGAAAGAAAGGAGGGAGGGAGGGAGGAAGGAAGGAGGGAAGGAAGGAAAAAAAGAAAGAAGATAAAGTAAAATAAAATAAAGTAAGATAAAATGTAATAAAGTTATTAAAATAAAGAAATAATTATTAAGAAAAAAAAACATACGGATAGAACCCTAAGACAAATGGTGGAAGCAAAGCTATACAGACATAATTTCACACAGAAGCATACACATACACACTCACAAAAAGAGGAAAAGTGGAAAAAATCATAGATCTTGCTCTCAAAGTCCTACTCAATTTGGGATGATTCGTTGTCTATTCATGTATTCCACAGATGCAGGGTACATCAAGTTGATTGTGGAGCTTTAATCCGCTGCCCCTGAGGCTGCTGGAAGAGATTTCCCTTTCTCTTCTTTGTTCTCACAGCTCCCGGGACTCAGCTTTGGATTTGGCCCCGCCTCTACGTGTAGGTCGCCGGAGGGCGTCTGTTCTTCGCTCAGACATGACGGGGTTGAAGGAGCCGCTGATTCGGGGGCTCTGTCTCACTCAGGCCGGGGGCGGGGGGAGGGGCTCGGAGTGCAGGGCGGGCCTGCGGCGGCAGAGGCCGGCGTAACGATGCACCAGCGTGAGGTGCGCCGTGCGTTCTCCCGGGGAAGTTGTCCCTGGATCCCGGGACCCTGGCAGTGGTGAGCTGAACAGGCTCCCCGGAAGGGGGGTGTGGAGAGTGACGTGTGCTCACACACAGGCTTCTTGGTGGCGGCAGCAGCAGCCTTAGCGTCTCATGCCCGTCTCTGGGGTCTGCGCTTTTAGCCGCGGCTCGCGCCCGTGTCTGGAGCTCCTTTAAGCAGCGCTCTGAATCCCCTCCCCTCGCGCACCAGGAAACAAAGAGGGAAGAAAAAGTCTCTTGCCTCTTCGGCAGGTCCAGACTTTTCCCGGACTCCCTTCCGGCTAGCCGTGGCGCACTAACCCCCTTCAGGCTGTGTTCACCCGCCAACCCCAGTCCTCTCCCAGCGCTCCGACCGAAGCCCGAGCCTCAGCTCCCAGCCCCGCCCGCCCCCGCGGGTGAGCAGACAAGCCTTTCGGCTGGTGAGTGCCGGTCGGCACCGATCCTCTGTGCGGGAATCTCTCCGCTTTGCCCTCCGCACCCCTGTTGCTGTGCTCTCCTCCGCGGCTCCGAAGCTTCCCCCTCCGCCACCCGCAGTCTCCGCCCGCGAAGGGGCTTCCTAGTGTGCGAAAACCTTTCCTCCTTCACAGCTCCCTCCCACTGGTGCAGGTACCGTCCCTATCCTTTCTTCTCTGTTTTTTCTTTTGCCCTACCCAGGTACGTGGGGGGTTTCTTGCCTTTTGGGAGGTCTGAGGTCTGATGCCAGCCTTCAGTAGGTGTTCTGTAGGAGTTGTTCCACGTGTAGATGTATTTCTGGTGTATCTGTGGGGCGGAAGGTGATCTCCGCGTCTTACTCTTCCGCCATCTTCCCGGAAGCCCCCCCTCTTCTGAATAACTAGGCTTTAAAATGCTTAGGCCCTGGATTCTACCTTACCCAGTTTCTGACTAAAACTGAATGGGTTTAGGCCCTAACCGGCTTCTGAATAACTAGGCTTTAAATGCTTGGGCCCTGCATTGTACCTCAGCCAGTTTCTGACTAAAACTGAAGTCTACATTTATTTTTTTCATGAACAATTTGGATCCTGAATCAAATGAGCTTCTGAATTTCACACAGTGGCAGCTTCCAGATTTCCAGCCTGCATTTGCAGATTTAGAATGATTTTGCTTGAAGGCGGGGGAATGGGCTCGTGGGATGGGTATTTGCAGGTATGTCTAACAGATTTTGGGATTATTGGGACTTAGAACGACAGTGCTCTGCAGAAACTTGACAGAAAGCAATTGGCACCAGTTTTTAGGAACTACTCCCTGTTGATTCGAGTTTTTTTCTACTTTCCACACCATTTATCCAGAACAATATAAATGTTACAAATAACTGGCTTTGGATTACCATGAGTGGGAGGGAACAGAATATTCATGAATGCTTTGTAGCAGCCTTTTGCACCCTAATGTGCCCAACCTACTACTGCTGGTTTTTAGAGTTGTAGCCTAATTCATTGCATCAGTGATAGCTTGACTGATCTCTTTATAAAGTAAACAGTTTCAACAGGTGGGTGTCTTTGGGAGGCACCCTCAGTATTTCGTGGCAACAAATTCAGCACTTCCTCATTATGGCTGCCTCCTCATCCTGATTCAGAAGGAAACAAACAAGCCTGGCCTCCACTGCAGTGACTGTACACCTGGAGGATTGTTTACTGAGGGCAGCCGTAACTGTTGCTCTGGGCCCTGATGGTCTAACCAGAGGTTGCAAATTTGTTGGGCTGGCGCAATGGGTGTGGTTTTTCTTTCTTTTTATAATATTTGGATTTGAATGACTTGAGGTGAGGCATGCTCTTTTGTTCACTGTAAGTCTCACTATGTCTTATGTGACTCATACATTTATATTACCTGCTGGGCCCCTTGCCATGGCAGAAGAAACCACAGAAGCAAACAGACATTGAGGCTGAACTTATTTCGTTTAAGAAGGGAAAATACAGAGGAAAACACCATCCTAGAACAAGTGTATTTTCAATCATTACTTCCAGAACGGTTGAAACCAGTATTGAAGGTTTTGGAAGAAGTTGAGAGGATGTGACCACTGCTTGAACTGCAAGTTGGACCCGGGCATGTAGAAGTTCTTCACCTCCTCCTTTGTCCTTGGAGTGTACATTTTGCCCACTGTTCCTGCAGGAGGAGCCATTTTCAAGGTCACAGCCTTGAGAGAATAAGGTGCTGGGACCATCTGGACTGAATACGTGACTGAGCCCAGGTAAGGTATCTATATAAACTCAAGATCCTGGTGGGCAGGTGAGGAGATCTACTCATCTTGCAGCCACCCAAGACAAGCCTTGTGTACAAGTTCCTTGCTTATTTCACTGCCACCTACCAGCCTGAAGTACTGGGCCTCTTTCTTTTGTCTCTCCTTGCTCTCCCTTTCCGGGGTCCAGTTTCAGATTTCACCAGGGAAGCTCCTGAGGTTTCAAACTATCAGAAGGATCCTCAAAACTTGGTTATCTTTACATCTATCTATACAAAACTGTCATTTGGATTGACTTGGAACTCAAAAGAGTTTCTTGGGACTATCCTAAGAACATTGTTTATCTCAATTGTTTCTATTAGAATGTCTGATTTTGGAGAGACATGTTTTCTGTATGTGCACAAAGCACTATGGCATCAAGTGAGAAATACCCTCTAGGAAACAGACATTGGTACAATGTGTGTGCATAGTTCCATGTGATTTGAAGACATGTAGATTTGTGTAACCGCCACCTCAATCCAGATACAGAACTATTCCAAAACCCCAGAGATTTTCCTCTTGCTACTTGACCCTCCCCTACCATAAATGAAACCCTTGTAACCCTGATCTGTTTTCCATTTCTATAATTTTGTCATTTTTGAGGTAGTTATATAAGTGGAATCTTATAGTCTGTGACCTTTTGAGATTGGCTTTCTGCGTTCAACATAATACCCTTGAGATCCATCCAAGTTGTGTGGATCAGCAGTTCATTCCTTTATATTACTAAGCACTATTCCCTGGCATGAATGTACCACAGTCTGCTGACTATTTCTGTTACAGTTGCTATGAACAATTGTGTACCGGTTTGTGTGCACATATATTTTCACTTCTCTGGGATAAATGCAATTGCTGAGTCATACATGAAGTATATATTTCATTTTTTAAAGAAAGTGTGCAACTGTTTTCCAGGGTGGCTGTACCATTTTCCATTCCCAGCATACTATTTTTATTTTTAAAAAATTGAGCATAAAATCCTTAGGAAACTGATGTTGATAAAGGTTCTTCAAAGGGGAAAAATCAGTTTATGAATAGGTTTATAATCATTCTGTCTGACCACATTACGTTCCTTTTGCAAGGTAAGACATCATAATTGATGGGGAAAACTCGGATCCTAGTATATCCTTACTAGAGACCACAGACACAGAGGCTAAGCTGGGTGGATAGGAGCAGGAATGGATACATCAGACTTTCGATTGTTGCCCTCACTTTATCAACGTGGACCCAGTTTGTTCTGGCATTACAGATAATCAGGAGGCCCTTTGCCGTCAAAGGGTGCTGCACTTCTTCCAAGACGTTGAAACAATTTTTGAGTATTATCTTCTTGCCTTGGCCATATTCAGGACTTAGGATTTAGGAGGCAAGTTCTTTTCAGCCCATTTTTTAAAGGAGAAAGTGTAAGGACATAAGGTCATAGCAGTAAGTCTCAGAGACAGCGGTCAAAGTCATAGAGTGGTGGGAGGGAAATGATCTCTGGCACTTTCCAGCTGTTTTGACTCGCCCGTGTTACTTAACACCTCTCAGCCTCAGCTTCCCTTTCTGTAAAATGGGGACACTAACGTCTGCCTCATAGGATCCATGAAAGCCTGAAGTTCAATTGAGTGTGGAAATCAATATCAGATCAACAAACACAGCTACCATTTGTTGGGGACTCAGTACATTTGAGGCACTGTGCTCGGCCCCTTGTAGGCATTTGAAAATATGACTATGTTCCCTTTCCTTTTTCTAATTTCTCTTTGTCTTCTTACTCTCTTTGTATTTCTCCAAAGCTAGAAATATGAAGGTGAGTTTATAACTTTGTTCTTTCATTCAACAAATATTTATTGAGCGACTCCCGTGTGCCAGGCATGGTTCTTTGTTCTGAAGACACAGCCCCAAACAAGACAAACCAGGTCTATGGGCTCAGAGATTATATTTTAGTGAAAAGAGACCAAAAAGAAACAGGGAAACAAATACATATATTAGATAATTTTGGACAGTGCTAAGTACTAAACAACAACAACATCAACAGCAAAGCTAGGTACCATGAGGAGACAGAGACAGCTGGGATGGGTGGGGAGACAATGAATGAAGGCTATTTTAGAAATGGTGGTCAAGAAAGCAATCTCTAAGGGTGAGACATCAGAAGAGAAACTTGAAGGAAATGAGGCAATGGCAACGGAAAAATGGAGGCAAAGCGAGCTGTGGGCAAAGTGTACCCAAGTGAAATGAACTTGATGTGTTTGAGGAGCAAAGGTCAGGATTCCCCATGGTGAGCAAATGAGAGGATGTAGGAGGTGAAGTTGGAGAGACTGGGTGTTCTAGGACACAGGAAGTTTGACTTTATTCTAAACATGACGGAGGGTTTTGCACGTTGGAATGATGTGATCTGATTTATGTTTTATGGGGAGTAACTATTCTGTTTGGAAGATGGAGGGGTGAAAATGACAAGGGAGCATGAAAAGGAAAGAGTGAGGAAGCCTAGGCAGTAACCCAGGTGAGAGGTGACTGGGGTTTGGCCAAGGGTTTTAACAGTGGAGATGGAGAGAAGATGGGTTTGGGATAAGTTTTGGAGAAGAGCTGATTGGACCTACATGGATAGAACATGGGAAGTGAAAGAAAGGGAGGGATCAAGGATGATTCCTAGGCTTTGGTTGAATACTTGTTTGCTGGGAAATCTAGGACTGTCTCCACTGCTCCACTGTGTCTTTTAAAAGGGAACAATTTCTTGTGTTATATGAGATGAGCTCATTTAAGTCTGTATGTGCGATATTCAACGAGAACTGAGACTGGGGTAAAGAAGACGTGTTGATACTTCCTGAATCCTTTAAGTTTCGTTCCTTCTGTACAGCGGTGGTGGGTTACTTTGTAACTTTTACTTCAATTTTCCTCCAACTGTCCCAGTTTCCACCCCTACTCTTTGCTCCCACTTCTGCAGCTTCCTTTTCACCTCAGTGGAACAGGAACCGCTCTGCAGGGCACGGCAAGTTCAACAGACTTGGTGTGGACCCTGGTGGATGAGTCCTGCCCTTTATTAGGTGGTGTGGGCTCCCAGCTTGGCAAATCTGGACCAGCTTCCTGTGCCTGTGCTGATCCCACGCAGGGCTTGGGGGCTGGTGCAGAGCAGAGCAGACCCCTACTCACACCTCCTTTGGTTAGGGTCTGAGGGGGAAGGGCCTGCAGCCTGGGTGCTTCACCGTACTGAAACCCCAGCAATGCTGTATGGGGCTGACTCTGGAAGCTGGTGTAGACAGTAGACAGTCTCTTCTCTGAAGTGTTTTGACAATGATTTTCAGGAGAGTTCTTTAACTTCTCTGAACTCCAATTCCCTCCTCTGTAAAGACTGGATAGTAATAACCATTGCTTCTGAGTTATTGTGAGAATTGACAATTTGAGAGGCAGTAAATTGTCAAGCAAACTTGACTTGGAGTCTAAAGTCAGACCACCCAGGTCGTTCCCATGTGGATCCTGTTGGAACAATTTTTTTTTTTAACTTTTAATTTTATATTGGAGAATAGTTGATTAACAACGTTGTAATAGTTTCAGGTGTACAGCAAAGTGATCCAGTTATATGTATACATGTATTATTCTTTTTCAAATTTTTTTCCCAATTATTTCGTTACATAATATTGAGCTGAATTCCCTATGCAATATAGTAGGTCCTTGTTGGTTATCTATTTTATTTTATTTTTTATAAATTTATTTATTTTTGGCTGCGTTGGATCTTCGTTGCTGTGCGTGGGCTTTCTCTAGGTGCGGCGAACGGGGGCTACTCTTCGTTGCAATGCGTGGGCTTCTCATTGCGGTGGCTTCTCTTGTTGCGGAGAACGGGGTCTAGGTGCGCAGGCTTCAGTAGTTGTGGCCCGCAGGCTTAGTTGCTCCGTGGCATGTGGGATCTTCCCAGAACAGGGCTCGAACCCACGTCCCCTGCATTAGCAGGTGGATTCTTAACCACTGTGCCGCCAGGGAAGTCCCTGGTTATCTATTTTAAATATAGCAGTGTGTACATGTCAATACCAAACTGCCTAACTATTCCTCCCCCCAACCCTTCCCCTCCGGTAACTGTAAGTTAGTTTTCTAATTTTGTGAGTCTGTTTCTGTTTTGTAAGTTCATTTGTATTATTTCTTTTTAGATTCCACTTATAAGTGATATCATACAATATTTCTCTTTCTCTGTCTGACTTACTTCACTCAGTATGACAATATCTAGGTTCATCCATGTTGCTGCAAATGGCATTATTTCATTCTTTTTAATGAGTGAGTAATATCCCATTGTATATATGTCCCACATCTTCTTTATCCATTCATCTGTTGGTGGACATTTAGGTTGGTTCCATGTCTTGGCTATTGTAAATAGAGCTGCGGTGAACATTGTGGTACATGACTCTTTTTGAATTATGGTTTTCTCAGGGTATATGCCCAGTAGTGGGATTGCTGGGTCATATGGTAGTTCTGCTTTTAGTTTTTTAAGGAACCTCCATACTGTTCTCCATAGTGGCTGTATCAATTTACATTCCCACCAACAGTGTAGGAGGGTTCCCTTCTCTCCACACCCTCTCCAGCATTTACTGTTTGTGGATTTTTTTGGTGATGGCCATTTTGACTGGTGTGAGGTGACATCTCATTGTGGTTTTGATCTGCATTTCTCTAATACTTAGTGACGTTGAACATCTTTTCATGTGCCTCTTGGACATACGTATGTCTTCTTTGGAGAAATGTCTATTTTAGGTCTTCTGCCTGCAACACATTTCTTAACCAATCCGTGCCTCAGTTTCCGTATCTCCCCTAAGAGGACGATAATGGTATCTCCTTCAATGGCTGTTATGAGAATTAGATGAACTATTTCTTGTGAAGTGCTTCAAACTGTGACTGACATTTGACTACAGCACCTAAAAATAGTGCTTGATGAGAGGCACATGATGCTTGTCTGTTAGGAAAAAATGATGTCTAGGAAAAGTGCATGAATGGCATTGAAGTTATTGTTTTAAATTTTATTA